TGAACGACCAATTTTCGGGCGAGCGTGTGAGCACCCTGGTGCGCAGCGCAAATGCCTCTGTGAGCTTCATCCATTACCTTCTCGGCCTCAGGCTTAAGTAGGCATTTCAACAGGGGTCCTCCGAACGACTGTTTATATAGGTCTCCGCCAACGATCCGGAAGGAGGGGGCTTTCCGCCGAATCCTCGCTGCGACTGCCGGGTCAGTTGGCAACTCGCCCGTTTCCTTGAATCGCCGGATGTCATCTATCCAGAACATCTCCGGATTTTCATCTCGATCCCATCCTTCGGTGTTTACTTGCTGGACACCTAGCGGCGCCTCTTCAACACTCGGCCGACTTAGCTCCTCCTACTGGCAAATCTTTATTAAGCGGTCAGGCACCCCTTCCAGGGCGATTTTAGACAAGATGTCGGCCTCTACATTGTCCGCCCGGGATATGTATTCTATTTCATAAGCTTCGAACCCCTTCAACATCTTAATGGCACATTCTTTGTACAATGCCATCCTCGCGTTCTTAGCTTCGTACGTGCCCGAGATCTGCCCAACTACTAGTCGAGAGTCGGTTTTGACTCGTAGCCGTTCGACTCCTAGATCCTTGGCGAGTCGGAGGCCGTTCAACACTGCTTCGTACTCGGCCTCGTTATTCGATGCAGAGAACAGGTACCTTAAGGCATAATACAGCCGAAATCCCTCCGGAGTGATGAGCACAACGCCACCTCCGCAGTGCTGTCGACTTGATGCTCCATCCGCATGCATCTCCCACCATTCGCCCGGATGGCTCTCCGAGGCGTGTTCCTTCTCCTCCTCACTCGCGGTACACTCGACCAGAAAGTCGGCCAAAGCTTGGCCTTTGATGGAGGGCCTGGGTTGGTACTCGATCCCGTATTGAGTCACTTTATCAGCCGGCCGGAGGACAAGGGGTTCCGTAGCACACTCCCGAGTGGCTGATCCGTCAGGACCCGGACGGTATGGGCTTGGAAGTAAGGCGCCAACTTGCGCACGGTGACCACCAAGGCATACGCGATCTTTTCCAGGGCGGTGTACCGTGTCTTGGCAGCTTTCAGTGAGCGGCTTACATAGTAAACCGGGTGCTGGACTCGGTCCTCCTCTCGAACCAACACCGAACTTACCGCTTTGGCCGAGGCGGCGAGGTACAACAGTAAGGGCTCGCCCTCCTGGGGGGTAGACAGTACTGGGGGAGTCGACAGATATCGTTTTAATTCTTCGAACGACTGTTGGCATTCGACAGTCCAAGCGAATCCCTCTTTCTTCTTCATGGCTTCGAAGAAAGGCACAGTCTTATCCGCCGATTTGCTCAGAAAACGGCTGAGAGCGGCCAGTCGTCCGGTCAAGCGTTGTAGGTCCTTGATAGTAGTAGGAGGCTGCATGTCGAGGATGGCTTGTACTTTCTCTGGGTTAGGCTCAATGCCTCGCTTGGTGACCATGTAGCCCAAAAACTTACCGCCCTGGACGGCGAACGCACACTTTTTGGGGTTCAATCGGAGGTTGTGCTTTATCATTACTTTAAAGCAGTCGGCTAAATCTTCCGCGTGCTTGTCCTCTTCTCGACTCTTGACGAGCATGTCGTCGACGTATGCGGCCATCGATTTTCCTAGCAGGTGGTGGAACAACCGGGCGACCATTCGGGTGTATGTAGCCCCGGCATTTTTGAGTCCGAATGGCATGACTCGATAGCAATAAACTCCGTCCGGAGTTAGGAAGGCGGTCTTCTCCTCGTCCGCCGGGTGCATGAATATTTGATGGTACCCCCTGAAGGCGTCCATAAAACTGAGCAGCGTCGACCCGGCCGTCTCGTCGACTAACTGGTCGATTCGGGGCAGAGGAAACGGATCTTTTGGGCATGCTTTGTTAAGATCCGTGTAGTCTACACACATTCGCCACGTCGGGGGCTTGGGCACAAGGACCACGTTAGCCAACCATTCCGGGTACTTGACCTCACGGACGTGCCCGGCTGTTAACAGCGTGCTGACTTCTTTCTTCACAAACTCCCTCTGGTCGTTGGCCAAGTATCGTTTCTTTTGCACGACCGGCCGGTGCTCCGGGTCTACGGCGAGTCGATGCGATATGATCGATCGATCTACGCCGGGCATATCTTCTGGGCCCCAGGCGAAAACCTGCCGGTGCTCTTGGTGTACTCTCGTGATTTCCCCCTTTGACTTCTCAGAGAGGCCGACTCCGATTCTCACTCGCCTGCTCGGCTGTGCTGAGTCGATCTCAATTTCCTCTAGCTCGACGGCCGGCTCTGGGCGAGGTATCACTGTTTTCTTAGGGGGCCTCTCGGTGATCTCGTGGACCTGCATCCCACGCTTGCCCATTCCTCTACATGCTTGCAGATAGCAGTCGCGGGCGACCTTGCGGTCACAACGCACCGTTCCTATTCCGTTTGGCGTGCGAAACTTCAAGCATAAATGTTCAATTGAGATCAGGGCCCCGAGGTCTTCCAAACCCGGGCGGCCGAGTATGGCGTTGTGTGAGCAGGCTAGATCGACCACGATAAACTTCATGCTCAACCGTTGTACGTCCGAATAGCTGCCGATTTCCACAGGAAGAGTGATGGACCCTTCCGCCTCCACCGAGTCCCCGGTGAAACCGGCGAGAGGGGTGTTCACAGGTCTGAGCTGTTCTCGGGTCAGCCCCATCTTGGTAAAGGTCTCCAGGTACAGTACGTTGACGCTGCTCCCGGTGTCGACCAGGATTCGGCGAACGACCACACCGTTGATGTCCATGGCGATGACCAACGCGTCTCGATGCGGGGTTTCCCCGGCTGGCAGGTCCTTATTGGTGAACACGATGGGCTCCCGGCATATCTTTTTGGAGCTCTCTTCTCGACCATAGACTGTTCCGACATATAGCTGCCGAGCCCAGGCTTTTCGGGTGTTCGCGGAATCGCCGCCTTCTGGCCCACCGACTATCATGTTAATGACCGGCTTCTGGCGCCATTGGGCTTCGTCCTCTTCGGAAGCCGGCTGCTTGCCTCGGCTGTTTTCTGAGTCGGCGACGGGTCCCTCACCTCCTCGACTGGTCGACCTTCGCTTCCATTGGTTAGGGGGCGGTGTCCCTTGCTGGATGATCCCCTCCATAATCTTCTTTAGATAGTAGCATTCTTCTGTGCTGTGAGTATAAGATTTGTGATAGCGACAATATTTAGAAGTCTTACCCGTATCCTCGTCCGCTGCACGGTCGTCCATCGGCGGAGGCGGAGGCGGGGCGACCGCCTGTACTTCGTGGACTGGTCGCTCTGGAACCGGTCGATAGGTGTGAACGACGGGTCGGTCATACGGTCGCCTGACCTCGGGTCGCCGGGCGGCATCCGAACGCCTTTCTCTCGTTTCCACCCGCGTCCTTTTTCCGCTGGCGGACCCACCGACCTCGCGCTGCCGTTTATGCTTCATGGCCTGCTCTGTGTTGGCCCTCTTATTGGCCATCTGGACAGCCTCCGCGTATGTCGCCGGGCGGTTGTCCCTTAGGTCTCGATACAGCTGTCCGGATCGCAAAGATTCAATGAAGAAGGTGAGCGCTGTTTGGTCCTCCACCTCTTCTATCGACTGGATCTCCTTCTGCCAGCGAGCAAGATAGGCTTTCAATGACTCGCCTTCATCCTGATGGATGTCGCCTAAGTGCGTCAGATCCTTCTGTGGCTTGACGTTAGCGGGATAGTGGGTCATGAAGCGGTCTGCCAGTTCTTCAAAGCTGTGAATCGACCCTGGGGGCTGACTTACAAGCCATCTTTGGGCGGGCCCCTTCAGCGTAGGTAAGAAGGCACGGCACATGACCGGATCCCGCACTCCTAGGACTTGCATCTTAGCTTGGTAACTCAATAGATGTTCTCGCGGGTCGCCTGATCCGTCGAATGTGGCTTGCTCCGGGAACTTAAAGTCGCTCGGTATCTTAAAGGCCATAACCTCGTCCGAGAAGGGTAAGGCGGTCAGCAACGTACGTCCTGGGGATTTGGTTTTTCCTTCCATCCGCTCTTTCAGACTTCGTACCTCCTGTACTAGGTTGGCCACTTCGATCCTCTCCCGGGTGCGATTTCCCGTGGATTCCGTGCTTTCGCCGACTTCAGATTCAGCCGGTTGGACGGGGTTGCGGGGAGGTTGCTCCACACGACGAGTCTCAGTCCTGGCTCTTTTGGTTCGGCTCTTCTCTCGTGCAGCTTGTCGGTCGCGGGCGACTAACGGGGCACGACTGGCCTCCTTCCGGCCTAATCGCTCTCTTGCCGACCGACGTCCGACGCTGGGACCTAGCCGGGAATGGACGGATTGCACCGGTTGGCTTTCAGCCCGTCGGCTCAATTGCCGATTGTCTGGCCTCTGAGGCGGTTGCAACTCGCGTTGCAGTTGGCGAGTGATGGACTGTTCTCTCACTCCTAGGCTCGCTTCCGCGCAGGAGCGTCCGATTGCACGCAACTGCTCCGGGGTGAGCAGCACTTGAGGTAATTGCGGGTTTCTCAGCGGCGTCGGCGGCGGTGTCGTCTCGTTTTCATGGCTTCGGGCATTTCTTCTATTCAGCTGGTTTCTCAAGTCGGCCTCTCGTCCGTTGTCTTGACGGCTCGACTGTTCCTCGCTTCCAGCCATGTCTGGAGTTTGCCTGATTCAACTATTGTTCCTTGGACTCGCCTTACTCAAGAGGACACGCGACTCTTCGTTTCGATCCCCACGGACGGCGCCAGTGATGGTTTTTGGGTTTTCGGGCCCAAGGAGGTCCAACACAACCTTAAGCTGGAGGATACACCTTTCACAAAAAGTCTAGATTTTCAGTGAAGTATGATGCTCAATAGTGCTCTCTATTCCCTCTCCGGGTTTTCTCAATCTGCCTCTTACAAGGGTGGAGGAGCCCTTTTTATAGTGGCTCCTCCTCTACTGACTTAAAGGCTCATGATGGCCGACTTCAAGATTACATTTAATGCGCCGAGCCGTTGGGCGACGTTACGGACTCTGGCAACGGCTCTCTCTGGCCGGTAACTGGCGGACCGAGTCCGACCTTTAATGCCTCAACGGCTCCTTGCCTTAACTGCTCTGAAGGCTCCTTCAACGGCTCTCTGGACCGGGTCCTCTCCTGGGCCGTGCCTGGGCCGACTCCTCGCCCCCGTTCGGCATTGGGCCCGTCCTTCCGGGCTCCGAACTGGGCCTCCTTCTTTGGACCTGGGCCGAGTCCTGGACTCGGCCCATGCATTCTTTCTGGGCCTCTTTTCTTGGGCCGGGGTTCTCACCCCATCAATGATAAATATCGATATTTGGTGAATGATTAGATATTTGAGCCAATAGTTGTTTGATTCTACTGAAGAACATAGTATGCAATGCAGAGAACTGGCAAACTGTGTTTGTCGTTATTCACATTATTTGTCATAATATTGGAAGAAGGTAATGAAACAATTTGGTTCTTTTAAATGGATATATTAGCATATAGACTTTATATGATATATTCAGGAAATGTGAAAACTAATATTGTGGTTACTGGTTTCCCCTTCCCCAAGATTTCTGAAATTGGGTGGCATAATCCTATTATATGTTAACGTTCTTTCCTATGTCCTTGGCCATTAAATCTGTTTATTGTTGGGACTTGAGAATAAAACAGAACTTAATTGCCTAGTATGTAAAGAATTAGAGATTTTTTTTTCTGGGTTGAAGCTGTCGAATAATATTTATTAGTTTGCTTATGAAAATTATAGAGAAACACAACTTCTTAATCTTTGAAGATTAGAAGTTTGCTAATAATGGCTACGCCACCTTCTTTGAAATTTCTTTTAATTTTTAAAAATTATAATCAAAATAATTTATATATATAATTTGACATTATGACATAATATTTAATGGAAACTTGAAAGTAACCTGTAAAAATTTATATTTGCACAATTATTATGTTTTTAATTGTCCAATTATACATTTTTTTTTTTTTTTGTTTGATGATTCAATTGCACAATGTGTAAAAGTTCAGTGACCTATTTGATATTTTTTCTATTCTACATGTGCAAGTGCCTAATTGAGTATAACCAGTTCGAGAGTTGAACATAAATCCGACCTTAGCTCAGTTGGTAGAGCGGAGGACTGTAGTGAGTTCTGTAATCCTTAGGTCGCTGGTTCGAATCCGGCAGGTCGGATTTACTTTTTGTCTATATATTCGTTCATCCTTAAAAAAAAAAAAAGGAAAGAAAACAGAACACAAAAAATCGCCGTTGCCGGGGATCGAACCCGGGTCACCCGCGTGACAGGCGGGAATACTCACCACTATACTACAACGACCTTTGTTTTTGGTTCCAAAATTGAAACAGATAACTGATAAAGCATATCACTGTACAATCCACCCGGCATCTTTAAGACATTAACCTGACTCACACAAATGATACTGGGTGGCATGGACGCATGGTGATATGGCGACATGAAATGAAAGACAAGAAATATATGTCGTGGAGACAATTCTTGTATTGATCATAGTTTGTAGGAAAATGTAATATTCAGACAAGATGTTATGTCCTAAACAAGACAAGAGTGGGTTATTTTATACAAGCTTGCCCCCCAATTGTTCCATGAGAATAAGGTGAGCGGTTGGATCACAGTTTGACCGTGTCCGCGTGCACGCCCGAGGCCTAGGACGTCTCCACCGAAGCCGCCTTCCTCTACAAGCCCTCGGATCGTGGCCACCCTAGCCGAGGTCAACCCCAACCAGGGTTGACCTCGAGGTCAATCCCAGTCGGGGTCGACCTCGACTTTAGCCGGGGTCGACTCCTACAACAATTATCAATACAAAAGCTGTCTCCGCGACATATATCTATTTTTCTTATTACCACATTATCTTAGTCCTATTATTATCGGGTTTAGTAATTCGGGCTATCCTGGATTAATTAAATCCATCATTACAGATGTTACGTGTTAAAATTAAATATAATTTTCCGATATAATCATTATAGCTACTAACTCAATCATGTGCAAACTCTTCAAATTTTGATTGTTAGAGAAACTGCTATAATTGTCTAAGCAACCAAAAAGAATTTACCATGACAACCTCTCTTTGTTTGACAGGTATTATATAATAAGGTTTACTCAATATATATTCTATTAATTAGTACTACGTATTGTGTATTTCTCTCGTTATCAAAAAAAAATTAAGACACTTACTTATGAAGTGATATTTAATTCTATATGATAACAAACATGTCAAAAAACAATTACCGAAATCCAAAATTTAATTATGGTTACCGAGTTGCCATACTCCAATATTTATGGTTAAAAATATTTTGCCATTTTTTTTGAAAATGAAATTATTGTCATTTAACCTCCTTATTCTTCCCTTTTCTCCTCATCTTTTGGGGTTGGAAATTCCAACTACTTTGATAGTGAAACTTATGCTCTATTTAGTTCAAAAAATTGTTCGCGACATCTTGAGTAAAGAAGCTGTGACAACAATTGACAATAATACTAGCCGATAGACTAGTTGAGTAACCCCCCATCCCCTCCCAAAAAAAAATAAAAATTATTCTCTGTTTTTTGTTTTCTAATTTTTTAGTTTTTATTCTCTATTTTACTTTTTTTCTATTTTATGTTTAGAAAATTTATTTACTAATACTCATGTCATGTTTACTAAGGGAGAAATTTTCTAATTTTCTGAAAAATATGATAATATAAAACAGAAAACATGTTTATTAGCGTAGATTTCTATTTTGAAAATTGAAAATATTTTCCAGTTTCTTAGAAATTTGGAGAACTTTTAAAAACTACTAGTATTTGCACCCGTGCGATGCACGGAATGAATTTGTTGTAATATATTAAGAATATTTTGATTGATATATAATTATTTAAATTAGAACATCAAATATTATATAGTGCAATTGAAGGTATTGTTTGGATCGTTTATGTGTTTTTATGTTATTAATTGCTCAAATTAATAGCTAATATGTAGATGTACACATGCGGCGTTGTAACTTTGGAGATTTTATTTATCATTATTTAGTATTTTTATAAATTAGGCAAATTTGCTCGTTCTCTAGCAATTCAGTTATAAAAATTAATTGATATCCTAATTTATTTGTATGGAAAATATATTTCTTGTCTAGATATATAGCAATTTTTCCATTTAAAAAAAAACATAATATCACAGATTATATTTTACAAACTATTGAAACCTCTTTGTAGACAAATTGGTAGTAACAACACAATCTTGTTCATCTTCGTCTAGAGCTAACACCTTTAGTCCAAAAGGATGGGTGACTCGGGTGAAAATATATAATGGTAGAATTTCAGTCAATTAGTGCTCCTTTTTATTTTCAGTCAATTAGTAATATCAGATTCATTATCAGCCAATTATTCTTTTTTATTTCCAGTCAATTAGTCAATTAGAATATTAGATGCATTGATATTTTTTCATAATATTCGTTCCATTTTTAATTGATGATTATAATATTTTTATTGTAATATTTTCGTTCTATTTTTAATTTACCTTTACTATCGTTTAAAATATGCATTTACTATTGATGATGTAGAATATTATTATTGAAATATTTTCGTAAAATTTTTAAGTTTCGTCATATTTTTTAATTAAAATGCAATGATCTGTCAATTTCTTTTTTCATTTTAGTCATTTTTTATTTGCAGTCAATTATTAATATTCATTTCCTTTTTATAATTTCAGTCAATTAGTAATATCAGATTCATTTTTAGACAATTATTCTTTTTTATTTTCAGTCAATTAGAATATCAGATACAGTGATATTTTTACCTATTCGAACCATTTTTAATTGATGATGTAGAATATTATTATTGAAATATTTCCGTTCCATTTTTAATTTCTATTCCATTGTGTAAAATTGTGAAAGATTTATGATATAATTGTGATTTGATTTATTCTACTGTGTAATATTATTGTGAAAAATTAAAATGCAATAATCACAATTTTCTTTTCCATTTTAGTCAATTATGGATAATTTTTTATTTTCAGTGAATTATTAATATTCATTTCCTTTTCCAATTAACGTAATTTCTGTTTCTTTTTTTTTTTTTATTTTTAATTTTCAGTCAGTTATTAATATTCATTTATTTTCCAATTTACCTAATTTTTGTTTCATTTTTTAATTGATGATGATGTAGAGAATTATTGCGATATATTTCTTTTTATTTTTTAATTTACCTTTACTATTTACTATTGTTTGGGCGGAAAATCAAGTAAATAAAATTTTGTTTTTAATTATACTATAGATTTACCAACAATCCAAACACTCCCTTAGTATTCCATCAAAAAACGAATAAAGAAAAGTCACTTCATTAAGAAAATTAAAACTAAGTAAAGTAAATCGTCTAATCATGTTATATTTATTTGAAACTGTATATTAATCTCATTTTGAAATCATTGGTTCACATATTTATTTTTTCTTTAATTATTATAAACAGAAATGATATTGTACACATAATTAAGATGATTTATTCCTAATTGTATTTCATATATATTATAATTCTAAATATATGAATACTAACTAAGAGAATTGTACTTAGAAATCAATAAAAAAACATGTATGTATATATATATATATATATATATATATATATATATATATATATATATATATATATCGAACGCATTTTCTTATATGATTGTATAATACATTGTATATACACATAATGTTTATTAATATGTATATAGAAAAATTCTATAATATAATTTCATTAATTATAATTTATATTGATATAATTATAATTAAAAAATTACATTTAGAAATTTAAAAAGTAACATTTAAATATTGTATGATTATTATAGTGCATAAGTGTATGTATATTTTTAGAAAAAATTATAAATATTCATGTTTCGTTAATTTTATACTTTTATTTCTTTAATTATATTTCATATTTTATTAATTATAATTTAATAAAATTGTCACAAATTTTTCTAGGGAAGAAATCTTATATTTCTCAGTTTCAATAATTATATTAACTATAATTACCAAATATTGTGGCAATTACCATAATAATTTCATTAATTATATTAATTATAGTATTTGTTCTCTTCTAATATTTAAATACATTACCATAATAATTACACGAAAGAATGAAAGAAAAATTATTAAATAATTACCATTAATAAAAATTAGAAAATCATATTAAAATTAATTATATATTAAGTTAAATATAATTTATTTTATGCCAATAATATTATACATTAAGTATAAAAATATATATGTATATAAATTACCATAATAATTACACTGAAAATGTGACAATACATAATTATTAGGCAATAATATTAATAATTAATTATTAAGGAAAGTATAATTTATTTTGTACTAATACTATTATACATTAAGTGTGTGTGTGTGTGTGTGTGTGTGTGTGTGTATATATATATATATATATATATATATATATATATATATATATATACTTTTAATTCTATATTGATAAGAATAATATGTGTATATACTTTAAGAAAATATTCATTATTGAAAAAAGGATATAATTTTACTGATTATTATTAGTATGAATTAATTAGTGAATTTCGTTTCCTTTTCTATTTTTCGCAAATTAAGGATTTTTTTATTTTTAAAATTTTTTGGTAAGTATTTTTTTGTACTGTTATTCTTATTATGATATTTTTTTAACAACTTTTCGTTTCCTTTTTCATTTTCATTGAATTAAAAATCTTTTTTTTTTCAAATTTTACTGATTATTATTAGTATTAATCAGTAAATTCCATTTATTTTTAATTTTTTAGTGAATTAATGATCTTTTTTTTATTTTCATATTTTACTGCTAACTTTTTTACTGATTATTATTAGTATTAATTAATCAGTGAATTGACTGAATTCTGTTTCATCTTTTTTTAGTGAATTCTAATTTTTGGCAGGATTTTCTTCTTCTTTTTTCTTTTTTTTTTTGACTGTTATCCTTATTATGACTTCTTTTTTTTTTTCACAACCTTCCGTGTTTTTTTTTTTTTTCATTTTCATTCAATCAAGACTCCTTTTCTTATTTTCCTATTTTACTGATTATTATTAGTAATAATTAGTAAATTCTATTTATATTTCTATTTTTAGTGAATTAAGAATCCTTTTTTATTTTTTTAGTTTACTACAATTTTTTTTACTGATTATTGTTAGTATTAATTAATTAGTGAATTTCGTTTCCTTTTCAATTTTTTGTGAATTAAGGTTTTTTTATTCTATTTTACTACGAACTTTTTTACTAATTATTATTAATATTATTAATTGGTAATTTTTCTCCTTTTTTATTGTTTGGGCGGGAAAGTAAGAAATGATGATTTTATATATTTTTAATAATAGTATACAATATCGATTTTTAGTGAATTAAGGATTTTTTTATTTTTCTATTTTATTGCTAACCTTTTTACTGATTATTATTAGTATTAATTAATTAGTAAATTCTGTTTCCTTTTCTATTTTTGATGAATTAAGATTTTTTTTTTCTAATTTTTGGTAGGATTTTTTTTACTGTTATCCTTTTTTTTTCAATCTTCTGTTTTTTTTTTTTTCATTTTCATTGAATTAAGACTCCTTTTTTATTTTCTTATTTTACTGATTATTATTATTAGTAATAATCAGTAAATTCCATTTATATTTTCAGTTTTTAGTGGATTAAGGTTTTTTTTCCCTATTTTACTACAAATCTATTTTTAGTGATTATTGTTAGTATTAATTAATCAGTAAATTCCGTTTCCTTTAATATATAGATATAGATTACACTAAAAATTATACAGTTATTATTATTCATATGGTAATTAATAGGTTGTTTTTATATTTGGTAATTAAGTCAATAATTAGACAAATTACTATACATATATTCCTTTTTTGAAGCTAGTATACGTCTATACATATGCATATAATACTAACTAGTATTTGACCCGTGCGATGCACGGGATGTTATTTAAACATTTTTAATTGTGTGTATTTTATGTTAAAATTTGTGTGATATATTTGGGAATACAACAAAAAACGTATGAAAATGGTATGTTACAAATAGTTGCAATGGTAATATAAAAAGAATACATTACAAAATTACAAATTATTGAAAACTTCATGATATACAACATTAGTGGTTGATGTAGTAGTTGAACTTGAGTCTTTTACAATCAATATTTTGAGACCGTCTTGATTATTAACCCGAGATGCAGCTACGTACAACTGACCGTGTACAAAAACCGGTTTCTTTAGTATTAAACCTACATGAGTCAACGTTTGGCCTTGACTTTTGTTTATGGTCATTGCATATGAAAGCATCAATGGGAATTGCCTTCGTTGAAACTTGAACGGCAATCTTGGATCCGAGGGTGACATTGACATTCGGGGGATTAACACTTTTGTACCTTTGTTGGGACTAATGAGAAGCTCGCCTTCAATAACATGGTCTGCTAACTTTGTGATTATCAACCGAGTTCCATTGCACAACCCAAGAGAATGGTCAATTTTTCTCATTAACATTACTGGTGAGCCGGTTTTCAAATTCAGTGTATGATTTGGTAGAGCCGACACGCGAATGCTGTTCAGAAATTCCGGTGTGTGTACATCTCCAAGTATACCATTATCGCCGTCGGCTTTGCATACTGCGTCTGAACTATAGTATGACCTGCTTTCGGCATTATGCAACTCAGTCATATATTCATTAACTGCGTTGACCACGTCGAGCGTTGGTGCTAGTATAGCACGACCTATCAGATGCTCGGGGTCAGTGTTTCCATTTGCAAACATTAGAAATGTACTTTCCACAATTGCTTTAATGCCGTCCCCCCCGGATGATACTAACATGTGATTAGGTATTTCAACCTCTGTGAATCCGTCATTCCGCCCACCCAGCTTTCCATCGCCGATATTGGCAATCCAGTTAGCAAACTCTTGTAATGCCTGCCGGCACCGTTGTGTACCGAACTTGTTTTGAGGTTTTTAGTCAACCTTAAAACTTTGCAACTATCCCATAGATATGATGAATTTATGGCGGAAGAAACAATGTCTTGCCGTGTACCTTTTGGAACTACAGGAAGAATTTGGCGGAAATCTCCACCCAGAACAACTGTTTTACCACCAAACGTCTTCATTTCACTATTAGGGTCCACAAAACGCAACAAATCCCGCATGGTTTAATCTAACGCTTCAAAGCAATGTTTGTGCATTCTCAAAATAAAACTAATAAGAATCTATTGACTTTCAAAATTGTTTTTAGTTACCTTCATTAGTTGTTCATAATGATATTAAATAAACAAATGTTAATAATAAATTATATTATTATAATATAAATATATCGCATGGGAACTATATATATATATATATATATATATATATATATATATATATATATATATATATATATATATATATACCTTCTGCGTATTTATAATAAATTTAAAATATATAAAAATGTTTATCGTTAGTTATAGTACTACTTAGTGTATCCAAATTAGCAGAACAATCTTCTAAGGATTGTCTTCAGTATTTGTTCAAGGGATAAACTTCGTGTGAAAATTGACTTGAATTATTTATCAAAGAAGCATTCTCCAAATTGTCTGCAATGATTATGAACATAAAATATTTATTTAAATATATAATGTCTTAATAATATAACAATAATATAAAATACAATTTATAGCTAAACACATACTATACTTAATAATGTTATATTATAATAGAATTAGAATATATATTAGTAATTCAATTATACTAATCCAGGCCTGCTGAATATCCAAATTAACTTGGACCAAATAAAAGCCCAACAAACATGGCCCGAACGACCCTACCCTTACCATATTGCTACCCGGACCATTGCCACGCTTCCCCGATCCTTGTTCTTTTCTCCGGGGAATTTCTACAACTCTCTCTCTCTAGAATTGTCTTGAATTCTGCTCTATTTTCACCAATTCCATAGCTAAATTCATCGGGGGTAATCGTTGAAACCTTGAATCTTTCTCAGCAGATAGACTCGAGTTCTTATGGTGTTTTTCTCAGTTTCTCTATACTTATGAACAAATCGCACCGAGTGTGTACCCTAATTTCAGTTTTCTACACCGATTCTGTGTTCTTTTCTGGATTATACAATTTGGTATTTTGTACACCAGACCGGAGATCTAAACCTGAGTTCAACAACAAATCCTGGGTGTGCACTCTTAATTGCCGGCTAATTTTATTTTATTAGGCTTTAAAAGAACAGATCTGAAAGTTCAAGGCTGTTTACCTACTTCAAAGCTAAGACACTGACAGCATCTGCATGGATTGAATCTTCCTACGAAAAAGCTAAGTATACGCTGATTACATATGAATGTTGATCATGTGAGACATCTTTTTGTTTTCAAGCCTATCTATACAGCGATGATTTCATTTTAATTTGCAAGCATATGATGAAAATGAAATTTTGATGTTTCTATTGATTTTAGTTTTTTTTTTTATGTATCTGCATAGTTTTTTAGATATAAGTGTTAAAATCTGCCAATTTTTTATTTTTTTTTTGTGGATAAAATCTGCCAGTGTTTATCCACTCATGACCAAGGTTTTTAACCATCCTAACTCATTCTGTGTGTAGGGTGCATCATTCTGTGTTTTATCCAAAGTTTTATTCCTTAACATTTTTATAACATTTTCTGAATTCTATTGTTGACAAAGTTTTGTGCAGAACATTTTAATAAACTCTACAACTATGATTTGATTTATACAAACCTGTTTAGCTTGATTTTTTTTATTCGTTTGGTACCAATTGAATAGTCCAAAAGGCCATAAAAAACAAAGATAGTAAACTTTGTTCATCACACACAAACCAATCTCAATTTTTTTCTACTTTCACATGGGCATTTATAAATTTCTTAAGATAATCTTGTTAGTATGCTGAGTAGCTGTAACTGGACTATCTACCTCATCACCTTGGGAGCCTTCCTGAAACCATAGGTATTTAGAGCAATCAATTTTCATATATTATTTTAAAAGATGTTTTGTATATGCAACAATTAAAGTAGCATATCCAAGCTTAGTTACCTCTGCAGAATCTTCAGTTCCTTCATCATCTTCTTCAATCATTCTAGATATAAGATCCTTGTCTTGGTTATCATTGAGGTTTGAACAGTAGGCAGACATCAAGGCTTCATCCCTTAGAACCCTCTCACATTATAAGCTGCCGTAGGCCCAACCATTTGATCCTTTTTTACTGAAACCCTAAAAATCATTGACATACCAGACTTTCACATTCTGGAGGAATGTCATTATCAACCTATAAAAAAAATATAAAAAATGTCAATAATAAAACATAACTAAATTATAAGATGTAGTACACTTAATATTTAGCTTTACCTGTTGATACTTTTCAAACAGTGAGATAGCTGGAACACCTATTAATTCAGAATAACTCCAAGGGACTAACAGACAGTCATATGAAATAGGGCTAGTGATAACCAAGAATACTGCTTACACATTGTCCCTGCAAATAAGGAATAATTTGCAGCTGCTATATCCAATTATAAGTACTTTGTTTTACTACAGAATAAGCAAAGGATGATTTTAGTAGTCTAATACTGAAAACTATGGTATAGCTGTGATATTTGAGCTATTTGACTATTCAAATTTTTATTGAGCCTATAACAAAAGTAGAAACTGTGATATTTGAGCTATTTGAGCCTGCTAAATGTGACCTACTTTTGTCTGTGTATGTTGTTTACACTAAAATCTTATTCACTTTTTTTTTTCAAAAAAATGGAAGATAATGACATTTCCTTCAAAATATACAGATATGTATATTTTGCAAGAAAAAAATAATGTAATACATGTGGTTAGACCTGTTTATTCTTTTTGTTGGGTTAAAAATTAAATTACTTCAATCTGCTTCTTTTATATCTACTTGCAAAACACTTAAAAGCAAAAAAATGCACCAAAACAATATTCCTGATATCACCTACTTTTGCAGTGTAAAAAATTGAAAATCATCATTTTAAAAATTATTTTTTCAGAATCAATATGACCTGCAAAAACACTTAAAAATGCAGAATATTACTTATAAAGTATCCTTTCATATAGGAGCAAATAATTAGCTGCTTTATAACTCCTAATAGATAATAGGTCATATAATCTTTAAATGAAAGGTTAATAGTATTACCATGGGAGATAATATTACCTAAGAAGGGGAAAAAAGGAAGCTTTAATCTACAATCTGATGCTCTATCCTGCAATTTGTATTATATGTATACATGCAATTGTATTTAAAGCATCAGCATGATGTTGATTCTTCAATGTGGAATGTGTCATCAGATTATAAAACAATTACAGTGGATAGAAAAAAAAATAAAGATTGAATTTACCTCCTCATTATGCAATAAGCATTCTTTACTACTCATTTCGCATCCTCTAACATCTAATCAAAACCTTCACATCTTCTTTTGGTGTGCAGTGGACTGATTTGCTTCACAGGAACATATTGAAACGGCAAATTTCTTTCTACAGAACTTTACTTCTTCGCAGTATGAAGTGATTTATGTTTACCTGATTCGACCTCTTTATATAGAGGTTGAATTTATTCAGGATTTTTATAGAACAATGAAGAGGCAAGCTTTGGAACAATCACTTTTTGAAACAATAAGACTTTTCATAAAGGATGTGTTCTATTAGGTTTCAATAACTTCAAATTTGTAACTAAGTATGCAACGCTTCGATTTTCCAGATTTATTTCTATTTTTTTTTTTTGAAATTCCTTGGTAACCGATTCATTTTACACGGTATTTTACGCAAAAGCATTAAATTTTTCGGCTTTGTCAAAATGTCGCCGTTCCGGTTGGGCGGGAATGTTTTGCTTTAATATATATAGAGATTAAACCATTTAATAACCTTTTATTAGGCCGTCCACAAAAAAGAAAAAAAAAATCTACATATTATTAAAATTATTGTGCTATAATAATATTAAGAAATAAGATATTAAAGAATTAATTGTAATTAATCAAATAATGATCCAGATTAGTGTATACATAAAATAGTATTACGCCATTTCACATCTTTTAATAGACTGTTTTTATATATGGTAATTAAGCCAATAATTAGACAAATTAAACTACTCAGTATAAGGCATTCAAAAAAAAACTACTCAGTATAAATTGATTATTATTGGAAAGAATATTTTTATTATTACATTACTATAAATTGATTACCAATTAGTACATTTACAATATCATACATAATATTCATTCGCAATCCGTGTTGTTACCATACATAATATTCACGGTTAAAATCATTATTAGTATTATATGTATTAAATTCAATATTAAATACTAATTGTATATAATAGATGATATTATAAAAATGTCCCTAAGTTTTGGGGGGAAAACTTGGCTAGGAGGATTTTAGTTTTATATATATATATATATATATAGATATATAGATATATATAGATATAGATATATAGATATATAGATAGATATAGATTCTATTTTATTTTTTTTAACAAAATCTTCCTTAAAGATTAATAGTAAAATAAAGATAAATTATTAATAATTGATTCTATTACATTTTCTTACGCAGAATTTTTCTTAAAGATTAATATAGTAAAATAAAGCTAAATTATTAATAACTGAGTCTATTACATTTTTTTAGGCAGAATTTTTTTTTTTAAAGATTAATAGTAAATTAAGGCTAAATTATTAATAATCAATTCTATTCTATTTTTTATGCAAAATCTTCCGTAAAAGATTAATAGTAAAATATCTTAATGATTATTTTCCTTATACTGCTTAATGATTCTTTTCCATTTTTCAGAGTATAGAAAACATTCACATGACTAATATTTCCTTCCATTATTTTCCATATTTCCATATTATTATTAATTTTCTTCCCAATATTATTATTAATTGTTTGGGCGTACGGCTTCCTTCCATTATTTTTCATTTTTTCATATTATTATTAATTGTTTATGCGGGAACTTGTAAAGGAGGATTTGTTTTTATTAATTAATATAGAATATAAATCAAAACTTCAGAAGTCCGATTACTTCAATAATCAACGCAAAGAACTAACAAGAATATAATAATAGTCAATTGGTGTATTAAAGACGATTCCTGCTATTTCTTGTCATGTATATTACAACAGAAACTTAACCACTCCTCATTCTCCAATCACC